AGTGCAGTAGACTGCAGTGTAAGTAGCAGTGCAGTGAGTAAGTAAGGTAAGGTAAGGAAGGGTAAGGTACAGTACCGGTACTGTATGTACCTACCCTACCTATAGGCTGAAGCAAGTACCCCCTACTTATCTGCTAAATACACGGAGGTACGGAGTACTTCCTACCGGAACTTGCCATGCAACTCCTATCCTGCCCTGCATAGCAGTCATAAATTAATTTTATACTTCTGCTATGGAGCCTATCCTGTCCTGTCTGTATGCATGCAAGACAAGACTTCTTCCTATATTAATGATTGCCCACACCCTTGTTCTCATTCCCGAAAACTCCTGGCTTCTCGAGAATTGATTGATGCCCGCATCCAAGTCTCGTCAACCTTCGTCCCGAAGAAAGCTCTCCGTGGCTTGCCTTGATCCACTTGAGAGATCGCAAACCACGCGCCATTTCACAAGTCGCGCACTCATTGGCGCCCTGGTTACGTGCAGGCACTAAGTACAGTACAGACCCTGGGGCAGAGGCGCAGGGCATGGCATGGCATGGCAGGGTTGGGGATATACATTAGTAGGGTAGGCTCGGGGGGGCATCTTAATTACCTCCGTAGTCTCGTTAATCATTACTCGTCAGGGGGGCGCGGCTCATGGTCTGGTGCTGGTCTGGTCAGGTCAGGCTCAGATTGTCCAATTGAGATTACTCTGGGCCCATTATTCCCCTTCGAGAAGCATGAAATATGCTCGAGCGCGCTCGATATACAGACACTGTGTTTTTTTTTTTGTTCTTCTCTACTCTCTATATCAGTCCGCTGCCTATGCTGTCCTATGCGACGTGTTGATATAACTCCAAGACGACGACGCTGTGGAGGATTCCCACGAGAGCGACCAGCCCGTCTTCTTGAAACATCACCATCACCTGCCCTTTTCGACCCCGCTGTGTCTACTCGCGACGGAGAACCGATGCACGAGACATCACCTCGCCCATTACCGATAATTGCCATGTCTCAGTGACGAGATCGAACTTCTACGGTTTAGTCAATTCTGCATCCTGCTACTGTATAGGTCCTCATCGGGGCCAGCAATCGAATAGTGCAGTTGACATACCAGGAACCGTTGAAGAACTCACTATTCGAAGCTACACACTCGGCGGTGTGAGACTGTTAGTAAGGATGGGTCGTATTTCCAAATTCTCCTTTCCAATCCCAGGACGGAAACATTCATCGAAGCCAGCACCGTCCGCAGAGCCGTCGAAGGAACCGCCGAGACCTTCGACCACCTCGAAGGGCTCGAAGGCCCAACGTATACTCGGCCCCGAGAATCCCCTCAATATTGACTCGCCGACGCAGGCCGAATACGCATATGGCTTTCCTATCCCTACGCGCAAGCCTAGTCGCATGAGTATTTCTATATCGGAATCAACGAATGAAAGTGGGAGTTTCCATGGATCACAGTCTGAACAATGGGATCGCGAATCAGGGGTATTTCCACAGCGCGAACGGTTTGGACAGCGACATAACGACGATGGGACAGCGAGCATATCAAGTGGACATCTACGGCGTCAGGATTCTTCTTCTACATTGAGGTCACACTACGATCACCAAAAGTCTCCACTCTCAATATCTCAGCAAACCTCCGCATCTTCGGCACGGGACCTAGCATTAAGAAAGGGCTTTCCCCCAGTAGTTCAGAGAAGCCCTTTGCTGCAGATTGATTTGACGGATACCTTTGATCGTGTCGAGGAGAGTCGCTACCAAGATGAATCTTCCCGAGACAGACCACCGTCTCGGAAGAAGCCTGCCAAATTAGATCTATCGATGTTGTTCCCCAAGACAAGAAGGCGTATGAGCAAGTCGTCGGACGCAGAATCAATGACTCCCTCCACCAAATCTGTTCCTACGAACGGGTCTCATCTCTCGCGCATTCCGGGCGATCCGGCTCCCCGGAAGCTTTCCAAATTGCCATCAAAGGACTCACTTCGGTCAAAGGAGAGTGGATGCTCCAGCCCTCCCGCCTATGATCCAAGGCAGCGTAATAAGTCTCAGCAGACCAACAACACGGGTGGTACCCTCTATCAACTATACGATCATTATGAGCATAGGCCTGTGCCATCTTCCCGCATGCATGGAATTCCTGAGGTCCCCAAGGTTCCTGAATGCATGGTAACGCGTGACCAAGCCGGCGGCAACTATTCTAGACCGAAAGAAGCACATTCCAGACCGAAAGAATCACATTCAAAACAAGCCAAAGATCGGGAGTTGGTTCAAAGTCCTGCGGAAAAAGGCAACTTTTCTTGGAACAAGGTACGCTCTGCTCTGGTTGGCCATGAGACCTCGAGTGCTGCCAGCATTTCTAGCCGAAATACAAAGACATCTCAGCATACTAGTAGAAGTGGTATTTCGAATTCCGATCTGAGGCTCAACAGCGTGTTGTCGTTATCATCTGATTCGGAAGGTGAGAGCTCGGATCGAGAGAAGTCGCCTGTTTTGCTACCGAGGACCAAAGTATCGAAAACTTCATCCCAGAAGATAAGTGAAAGCCAGAGGATGAATGAAAGCCAGAAAATAAGTGAGCCCCAGCGACCTCCGAGACACCAGTCGGGTGGCTTAATGCCTAGAAGCCACAGTTCAAGGAGTGGTTCAAGGAAGGTCGCTAGCCAGGAAAGCCAGTTCCAAAGCATCCCTGAGGCATCATCCACGGATGCTCAATTCTCTCGAAGAGTAGTTAGACAAGAACCCCCCAAGTCATCTAGTCATTTAAAGGAACCTCGTCAATCGTCCCAGAAAGAGAAAGAGAAGAGAACATCGAGGAGACCATCCGCCACGCATACAACATCTTTACAGCCCACTCCACCGCTGTCACCTAATTCCATCGAATTACAAGAAGCGACGAAGACTAGCGGTCGGTACATGGCTGTGACGAAGCAAGAAGAAGCTCTCTTGGAAGCTCTACGGCAAAAGAGGTATGCAACTCGGAAATAGGACCCTTTCATTCCTTTATTTCTAGAAGTGGTTTGCACTGCTGAAAAATGTCTCGAAGCATTTACTTTGATAATTGCCAATCAATCCAACCGCTCTTGCTTTGACCACTAGAAGTTGACTAAAGAATATATGCTAATCATTAACTATCTATAGGGCACGCATGCGTGACGAGATCATCGAGGAGCATGAAATAGCCAAATCACCCCCTAAAAATGCCGTCAAACGCGGAGCTAGACATTCAAAGCAGCCTTCTGCGGGCACTATGCGTGAGAGTGAGCGACAGAAAATCATGATTTATCTTGACACGCCTCCGCCTTCGGATTCTCACCCTATTAGCATGGCAGAACCTTCTCCTGATTTGAGCGACTTCCTGAGTTTCGGTTCCGACGATGATTCAACGCCACGAGGGAGCTGGGCAGCACCCCCAAGAGCCCAGGCAAAATCGAGCTCGAGTAGGAAAATGAAAGATAGCAAAGCTTATCCCGTCACGCCTCCTTCTGCGGCTAGGCTCAGTGCTGTTGGTACCCCTGATTTCTTTGAAAACAGGCCCGCAGAGCAAGTTGGGATGAAGAAGCAAGCTACGGGTGTGAGGTTCGCAGAGGAGCCGAAAGTTGTGAATGGGCAAGACTTTCTGTTCGACGACGAGGCAGAGGGGGGTGTTTGGCGGATGTAATTGATGGATTGAATAAGATACAACTAGACTATAATGTGTGTTTTCCTTTGTACGATTTTCATTTGTTGGCATACAGCTACATATATACCCAGCTTCCTGTATTCACTAGCATCTTTGGGGTGGCATATTTAGGCAGGGTCTGTTAAACTCGGGAGAGTCTGTTGATTTGGTCATGAAGGGATGAGGCGATATGATCTGTACATTAATTAATTAGAGAAATTAACCCTCTGCTTTGATCACTCATGGTGTGGCAAGTCAAAAGATGCTTATATACGATACGATATGAGATGCGATATCACTATATATCTAAACTTCTGTCCAAGTAGTAGAAACTTGAGTTTGTGGCGTTTCCATGATGAGTCTGATGGGAGTATTTCAACTGAGATGCTGCGACTAGCATTGTAGACATTGTACTCATTATTGCAGGGATGCATGCGCTCAAGAGCTGTGGAAGTTTGATTTAAAAGTGTGTCGTGTTTATGAGCGAAGCGAGCAAAGAAGGAAGGACTAACTATTAACTAGGCTCTGCTCTGGCATGCTCACCCTCAGCTCAGGTTAACTTATAGTAAAGCAGCAGTTGCTCACTTCCGCAGACTAATACGGAACCAGCGAAAGGGGGAAAATAATCCTGAGTCTATCGGTATTGGATTGGTCCACGTCGGCAACATGTGACATGAAACAGCCTCAAAAGAAGAAGAATGGCTTCAATGACGAGGGCTGTTTCCGATTATTTCGAAGGGCATTTGCCCGCGGAACTGGGTTAATGTGTAATCATCGACGTTTGCTCTTGAAGGGAATGTTGCTTAATTATGAGTCAAAACTAAGCAGCAAACATTAGAGAAATTCCTGAAGGCGATTTATATCTTCTGGAAAACTCCCCTTTCCCATCCCCTGCCCTGCCCTGCTTTCAGCTACTGTAGGCCAGGAGGATCTAGGCCAGGAGGATTCACAATTCCAGGGATGTTTTAGCCCTTGTAAGCTTACCCCTATTGATTGGATGTGCCTGGCTGTAACAAGCGTCAGCCCAAGTTCAACCCCAGAAAGAGAGCAAGCGGAGCGCGCGAACAAAACCCTTAGGCTGAGCTAAGATGGGACACTACACCACACCCTAACTCAACCTATTCACGACTTCGACAATTAGATTATTTTCCTCCTTAAACTTTCACTCCGCCAGCCTGCTGACAGGGCATTCACTGCTCTTGCATACACTCTTTTGCTTATTTTGAAGTTTTTCGGACGAGCATCACTATAGCACCTCAAGGCGCCCTCCTGACGCATCATTATACCGGTAGACTTGAAAGTCCTGCTGAGGGCAAAGGGGCAGGATGGGGATGGCCGACGCGCGGTCCAAGGCGTCCGTGATGGGAGTGCCTATGAAGCATATCTCTCTGATAACCGTACGGACCTCTAGAGATCTCCAGAACATGAGTTGTATGCTAACTTCTCCGCAGCTTACTTTTCAGAATAGCGCCTTGATACTTGTACGCGCCCCTGACATCAAAAACCCCGGGCCAGCGAAGAACGGCTTTCGAATGTTCCATATCAATTAACACAATGATAGATAATGCACTACTCCCGAATAATGCCACAGGTTGGTGGCCATCGGTATTTTACTTCGACTGCGGTGTTCCTCAACGAGGTGCTGAAACTGTCCCTTTCCTTGACAATCGCCATGTACGACATATCACGAACACTGCCTCCTTCAACCCCTGCGACAGTCCTTTTCGAACAGCTATACATGTCTGTGTTTTCTGGTGATGGGTGGAAACTTGCGATTCCAGCGACGCTGTATACACTCCAAAATTCGTTGCAGTACATAGCGGTCAGCAACCTGGATGCTGTACATTTCCAGATCCTTTATCAATTAAAGGTATGGCTTTTGTGGATTCGTAATTAGGTAGTACAGGACTGATTTGCATGGTAGATTCTTACAACAGCACTTTTCAGCGTCACAATGCTGGGCAGAGCACTCTCGTCGAAAAAATGGATAGCGCTTGTACTGCTTACAATTGGCGTAACGATTGTGCAGATACCCACCAACCCTTCAGACGACCAGTCTCGATTTTACTTCCCGCGATCCTTCCATGAAATTGGGCAGTTGAGCAATGGGGCTGTTGAGGTGGCCAGAGAATTAACAAAACGTGGGATGGAGCAGCTGTCGGGGGGGCTTGAGAAGCGCTCAGCGACATATGAGGGGATCGAAGAGGATTTGGGCTTGGTCAAGCCAATCATGAACTACTCAATTGGGCTGTCTGCGGTCTTGATTGCGTCCTTGATATCTGGGTTGACCGGCGTGTACTTTGAGAAGGTACTGAAGGAGAGCACCCAACATGTTACGGTATGGACTCGGAACGTACAGCTCTCATTCTACTCTTTCTTCCCGGCCTTGATCATTGGTGTCATCTTCAAGGACGGAGAGGAAATTTCCAAGGAAGGGTTTTTCGTGGGATATAATAGCGTGGTATGGACGGCAATTGTGTTTCAGGCTGTTGGAGGTGTTTTGGTTGCTATGTGCATCAATTACGCCGACAACATTGCCAAGAACTTTGCGACTTCCATATCCATTGTCCTCAGCTTCCTCTTCAGCGTCTGGTTCTTTGACTTCCAGGTCACACTCAATGTAAGCCTTCCTCGCAGCCTGATTACTGAAATTGTACTAATTTCAGTAGTTCCTTTTTGGCACAGCAATTGTCATGTTCGCCACCTACCTCTACAGCGGGCAGGAACGAAAACGGAACCGACCTCCTCCAATTAACATTGCAACCTTCGACAAGACGACGATAGATAATGGATCTACGCCAAGGTATGAAGAGGACAAACGGATGACCATAGCTTCGTTAGAGAGCATTAAGAGTGCTGGCCTTTCAACATCGAGACCGTCATCACCAATGAGACATCATTCCAGAGTAGGCTCATCACGGGGAGGAGGAGGGAGGATAAAGCGGGCGGACTGAACATAAAAGGGTTGTTTAGAACGGACTACAAAATCACATAAGCGTTTTGAAGAACGGAGGCACGCCAAGATAGCGGGCTTCTGTGAACAATTTTGATGGGAGATACCAGGTGATAAAATATGGGGGGGAACATACGGGTCTGGCGTTTCTACACTGGAAAACATACGGCGTTTTAGAGCTTGTCAGGGTTCTGCATCTGTTGCGCAGGATATAAAATGGGCATTTGAATTCCTGACTGGCTAGCGGGGATACGTAAGTAGAGGAAATTCCACAAATCTCTGTTACTCGTGTAGAAATCTGTATGTCTCTTTATTTGCCAGTATGTTTCTCTCTAGACTAAAGTTTTGGCTATGCACTTGCTCAAAGTTAGACTTAGTGATAATGTCTGAACACTATCACTTCCTGTCTCTTCCTGCGAGATCAAAAATCATTCACTACGCTGGAACATATATGCGCTGAACTGCTGTTATTTTCTGTCAAAGCAAAGAGTTTTAGAGTCGGAAAACAAAGAGGATTCACGGATTACCGAAACATCCAGATCTGCAGTTTGAACCTTTCGTGCATCTCTTAAGTAAGCCCTGGAGAATGAGACAAGGGAAAGATTCTCAGGGGGTGGAAGAAGACGCGACCACGTGCCTTCTTGTTTTGACCATTCGCTTGACGTAGCAACGCCTTCCCTATTCACTTCCCTATCAATTCAAAGTCCGCTACAATGGAACCCCTTCGTATCGTCTGACCTCTCTCTGGGGTACGCGGAGCTGCAATCTCTGTTTTCCACACGCCCAAACTTGTATACCCCGACGAATAGCTACCCTCTACAGTTACGGGAGCTCGTTCGCCTGCGTCTTCCATAGAGCTTGTTCCCCATCTATAACCCTTTTCGTTATCATCTTTTCCCACAGTTCAAGATGGAAGGAAGGGGCCATGACCGTCATCTGCAGCGAATCATTGATCAAGCTGGTGACTCTGGTGGCTTTTACAATCACTATCAACGTACTTCCAGCATCAGTTTCCCTTCTGCCGAGCCACACAATACCGAATGGAGTTTTGGCCCTGGTCCCAGACATACGCCCCAAGAGCCTTCGACGTTCGCTGATCCAGGTCAGACCCTCTCCTTCCTATGTATTATGCATTCTGACAAGGCTTCTCCCAGCTCAACCATACTTTGACACGCCACGTCCTCCTTTGCCAGCATCGAATACGAGCCATAGCCGACTTTCTTTCCCACCTCGAGGCTTATACAACCAGCCAAGTAGAGAACCTCGAACTATCACAAATGCCGATAATCACTTCAGATTTGCCCAAAACTTACATCAGAACGTACCTATTAGCCAACAGCCACCACCGAGACCAGCTATAGCTCAACAAACTGATACAATCTCCCAGATTGCCAATGCTATGCTACATGGGAAGCAGATTTCACAGCCGAGGACAGGGCCAGAGCCTATTGACTACCGCCAGCCTCCCCAGCCCAGACAGCCAAACCCATTGCAACCTCAAATGCAGCAGATTACACCCCCTTTCAACTTAAGTAAACGCTGCTCAGGTCCGACACTTATCAAGCGCTGACTTCTTTAGACGGCTTGATTCATACTCCTGATAATATCTCTAGGGCCTCGTCTTCGCCATTCGGTCAGCCGTCTAGTCCCACAGCTAGAGTCAGTCTCCGTCGAGCTACCAACCGGGAAGCTCCTGTAGTTGCACAAGATGCCTTTGTCGAATATACCGATGAACCTCGAACCCTTCTCAACCAGATCGTCCCACATATCAACCGGTACCAACGAAGTTCCACTCCCAGTCAGCATACGACATATAGCCACCAGAATGTCTCGCGAGAGGACCCCCAGTCTCGAACCTTGGCTCTAGATCATGCACCACCTATAGCGCATGGGATTCAGCTTGTGTCAACGTACGAACTTCCCGATCGAACTCGTCAAGTCTTTCCTTTTCAATTGTTCAATGCAGTGCAGTCCAAAAGTTTCACACCAATCTACAAGACAAACGACAACGTCGTCATCTCCTCTCCCACTGGTAGCGGCAAGACTGCTCTCCTGGAATTAGCCATCTGCAGAGCTATTGAAGGTCATGGATCTGGGCAGTTCAAGATCGTATATCAAGCCCCAACAAAATCCCTCTGCTCGGAGAGAATGAGAGATTGGACGAAGAAATTCAGCCACTTGAACCTTTCATGTGCCGAGTTGACTGGCGACACAAGCCAGGCTGAGATGGCTAGAGTGCGAGCTGCCTCTATTATTATCACTACACCCGAGAAATGGGACAGCATTACTAGAAAGTGGACCGATCACCATAAGCTCGTTCAGATGGTGAAGCTGTTCCTTATCGACGAGGTGCATATATTGAAGGACCCTCGAGGCGCAACTTTAGAAACTGTCGTGTCTCGTATGAAATCTATTGGAGCTGATGTCCGCTTTGTGGCACTCAGTGCCACCGTACCAAATTCCCACGACATCGCAGTGTGGCTGGGTAGGGATCCTACAAATCACCAGTTCCCGGCTCATCGAGAGATATTTGGCGAAGAATTTCGACCTGTGAAATTGCAAAAGCACGTCTACGGATTTGAAGGAGGTTACAATGACTACGCTTTCGAGAAAATTCTAGATGGGAAGTTGCCTAATCTGATCAAGAAGCACACGCACAAGAAGCCTATGATGGTATTTTGTTTCACGCGCAAGTCCTGCGAGGCTACAGCTACGCTGCTGGCGGATTGGTGGACCCGATCGAAAGTTGTCGATCGAGCTTGGCCTGCTCCAAGTGGGCGTACTGTAGTGGGTAACAAGGAAGTCCAAGATCTAATCACGAGTGGCGTGGCTTTTCATCATGCTGGTCTTGAACAAGACGATCGTCATACCATTGAGAATGCTTTTCTGAAAGGCGACATCAGTGTCATCTGCTGTACCTCCACTTTGGCGGTTGGGGTCAATCTTCCTTGCCATCTGGTTGTTTTGAAGGGAACAGTATGCTTCCAGAATGACGGTCTCGCTGAGTATTCAGATCTCGAAGTCATGCAGATGCTTGGACGAGCTGGAAGGCCTCAATTTGATGATAGTGCAGTTGCTATAATCATGACGAAGAACGATAAGCAGGGGCGGTACGAGAAAATGATCTCGGGTCGGGACATTCTTGAAAGCACACTTCACCTAAATTTGATCGAGCACTTAAACTCGGAAATTGGTCTGGGTACTGTCAACAGTCTCTATAAGGCAAAGACATGGCTCAGTGGTACCTTCCTCGCCGTTCGCATGAGACAAAACCCCAACTACTACAATATTGACGGTATACTTCCGGGTGGAGACACTGACAAGCGGCTTGAGCAAGTATGCGAAAGGGACATCAAACTTCTACAAGACAATGAACTTATCACTAGTGGTGATCGCATCCGCTGCACGGAGTATGGCGAGGCGATGTCTCGTTACATGGTGCAGTTCGAAACAATGAAGCTGCTTTTGAGAATACCTAAGCATGCAAAAACTGAGGAGATTGTAAGTTTTATAATTAAAAGTCACTTGCTTAGAGCTAATCTTCATAGCTCCATATTCTCTGTCAGGCAACCGAATTCGAGGACATGCGTATAAAACCGAAGGAAAGAGCATGTCTCCGAGAATACAACAAATCTCCATTTACAAAGTTCCCAATCAAAGGCACGATAAACACAGCGGCACACAAAGTCTCATTGTTAATCCAAGCACAACTTGGGGGTATTGAGCATCCAGGAGAGAAAGACTTTCCCGTCTTGAGGAGACAATTCAGCACGGAGAAGGCTGTCATCTTCGAACGTATCCAACGCCTGATTCGGTGCGTCATCGACTGTAAAGCATTTGACTGCGATGCAATAGCTACACGACACGCCCTTGATCTGGCCAGAAGTTTATCTGCGGGTTATTGGGAGACCTCAAACTTGCAACTGAGACAAATTCCTCAATTTGGCCCTGTGGCCGTTAGGAAACTTGTGAGCAACAACATTAACAGCATTGAAAAGCTTGCAAGCCTTGACACCGCAAGTATTGAACGATATGTCAGCAAAAACCCTCCCTTTGGGAGGAAGACTCAAGAGTTGTTGGCGTCGTTCCCGCGTCTTACTGTGGCCTCTCAGATTATCGGAAGAGCCATCATCAAACCTGGACAGAAACCAAAAGTCAACGTTAAGGCTATTATTGGATTCGCCAATGCGAAAGTTCCGGTTTGGGCTGGTCGTAGGCCATCTTTGACTTTCATGGCGGAGACGTCTGATGGCGCTCTGGTTCATTTCTGGCGAGGAAACGTCCTGAAATTGGAGAAAGGTTATGAACTCATGTTCATGGTTGAGCTGTCAGATTCCGCTGAGATAATCAAATGTTGGATTGCTTGCGATGATATCGTGGGGACTCTTCGTTCAAGTGTGCTCACGCATAACATTTCCGTCTCTGAATTTCCAGCTGTTCCCAAAGAGACCCGTCTTCAAAAAGGCCCATCCACCAGAAGAGATTCTTTCAGCGATAACGAGTTTTGGGACGATGATATTAGAGATGAAGACCTTCTTGCGGCTAACATTGTTATAAAGAAGCCAGAAAACCACCGTGACTCGGACAATTTTCCCGATGTTGATGACTATGATCATACACCTGCAGGATCAGTCGCAAAATTCGCAAAAAGCGCTCCAGTCTTAGAGCCATTTCAGATGGCCAATGGTAAATGGAGTTGCAACCACTCATGCCGGGATGGGAATCTCCTAAAGAGTGGACAGCCTTGCAAACACAAGTGCTGCCATGAGGGTCTAGACAAGCCGAAAATCTTGAGAAAGGTATATGAGACAGCTAGTTGTTATGAAAATAGCACCCCCTGACATGAAATAGTCTTCTATCGGGACGAGTCAGCAGTCGTTGTCTTCGAAAGAAGTAAGTTAACTCTGCGTTCCGAAGAGTGGAGGGTATTTAACTGATCGGAATTGATATAGGCCAGCATCAAAGGAGGTGAAGGTCAAGCACAGAAGGTTCGTAAAAGACACTCTTCTCGTTTAAATTTACTGACAAAAATCTTTTGCCAGCAATTTATGGAGAATTCACAAGCGAAGAGACTGAACTCGAAGGCAACGGCGAGCAATCAAAGCAAGACAATGGCAAATGGTAAGGCGGCTAACAAAAGTAAGGTTAGTCACGCAATCCGTGTTGATTTTTCAAGTACCCCGAGAACTGATAGTTGTAGCTTTCGAATCCTAAGCTCAAGGAAATGAAACCCTGGGATGACAATTCCGATGACTTAGAGATCCTAGACATGGCCCAGGACCTTGCTCCAGTTTCCTACGCCGATTTTGCTCCCCACGACTTCCGCAAGTTGAACACCTTGCACAATAGCGTACAGAAGAATCAACCCAAGTTCACTAGTCTTCCAAAGCAGAAGCCACAATTCGATTATGGAAGCGGCAAGGAGGCACGACTTCCTTTCCACCCGAATAGTGAGAACGATGATGATGTCTTCGGTTCTGATGACGAAGTGGACCTTCCCTCGCCGTCCATCTTGTTAGGTGGGCAGAGAAAGAGTTCAAGTCCGTTGAAGACGGGCCCTGTCCATCTTACATACCAGGAAGAGAGTGATATTTCATCCTTCCAGGATGAATCCCTGGCGAGTCTCGAAGCCGGAATGATTGGTCTCAGTGATTCGATGGTGCTTCGAGAATCTACGCCAAGAATCGATTCTAGCTTTGCTAATAAGGTCTTCGATTTCGATGCCTACCAAAATGATGGTCAGGTGCAAGCTGAAGAGACAGATACGACTGAGAATGCGCTCTTGCTTGAAGCCCCTGCTGATCTGTCAGTGGCGAAGCGTCACTTGAAGAGAGAGTTGTCATCAAGCCCTGATGAGCTAGAAGTGAAGCACCGTCGTATTTCGAACTCGCAGCTGGTTCAAGCACCGCCACAGATACCATCCGTTCCAGCCTGGGTTGATGAGTTCGATTCGGAGCTGATTGAAGGCTTGAAGGGTATTGTTGATTTCATAGACTGAGGGGCTGCCGAAGGAATATGAAGAAGACTTGAAGAGGATGTTTTGACTGTTATGGCGTCACATATTGGGACATTGCTAAGAATTATGAGGGTATCTGGTATGCTTCTATGTTATACCAGCTTGCATGTGTATGTAGATAGATGGCTGCGACTTTTGGGATTGCTAATTTCAGAGCTTTGCTCTAAATGAGAGATAGATATCAAGTTGCTTAGCATAGCTTATCAATAGCCAAGGAATACGATATACTCACACTCTAAATGCCAAACTATTACTCCCCTTACTTCCCTTGCACCCTACTTGAGATGTGGAAATCATGTGACAAGAGTGGATGGGCAGAAGGGGGTTTGTGATTAGTCAGCAGTGGATATGTATTTCCGTTCGTGAAGTCTGAATCATGGCGGCCTTCCAAGTATGCAACTGCAGTCGGTGCAAGTTACACCTGCCAGCAAGTGCAGTGGTTTCTTTAAATGGAGTTATTTGTTTACAATTTACAACGCAAGAACCAGGTACTCTGACTAGGCTGTGTCTCTGGATACCCGTCTGTGCCCTACGCGTCTGGTACCAAGCCTCGTTACACTGCCAGGCAAGGGAACTTGAGTAAACAATGCTTGCCAATGAACCCGTGTGCTTTTCTTGTGGTTGCTTGGCCTTCTGGGGTCTTGTCAATGCAGGCATGCACAGCCCCCCTATCCGCCCCGATTAAGGTGGACCTATCAGTCAACTCCAGGCAGACATCTCTGCTAGTATATCGTATATAGGATTTGAGCTATGTCTTTCAAGAAACACAAGTATACCTCCGTAAGGATATCTCCGGTTTGCACCTCATACTTCTAAACCAACATTGGAGAAAAGGTTTTTGATTTCCTGACACATTCATTGCTTCTTTACCAATACCTTCTTTTTCTTCATGAATATGTCAGACAGCAACACTCGTTATCACATCGTCCCCCGCGCATCTGAAGACTCGGATCGCGAGGCCTCTCCAGATCAACAACTCCTACCATCTCCCAGCATAAGCCCAAGACTCCGTAGAGGAAACGGGCCATGGATGATTGACTGTAAGTAATTACACCATGTTTCGGGATCTATGAGATGTTCCTTGAGCATTTGTTCCAGAAACCTGTGCATATCCCAAGAGGGTGTCACGGCTTTGGACTCTTGGCCTGTACTTTACAGGTGCTCGTGGTATTTTTTAATGAAGCAACGCTAACAAGTTTTGTTCGTAGTTCATCCTGTTATTGGGTTGCGCATCTTCTCAGGGATTTTTTCCCTCATTGTCTTCATTATTCTGGCCATTGTGGGCGGGAATGAGTTCATTGCAACAGACGTTTTCGTCATGATGATGTGAGAGCTCCCTTTACATCCTCACTTAACTATAAACATACTGATTCATCATTCCTCAACAGTCTTCTCCTAAACGTTTTTCAAGTCATCAACCACTGTCTCACCAACATCTTAAAAGTGACCGTGGAATTCCGTCGTAGTGCAACATCGATGTCCCTTGTATCGCATACCAAGCCAAGAATTTCAATGTATTTCGACATCGGGTTATCGCTCTGTCTCATTATCAGCTTAGCCATCGGAGGAGCCAAGAAGAGCACCGAAAACCACTACTGGTACAGCAATCGAATTGCATGGAAAGTTGGATATGCCTTTGGCTGGGTTGTGATGTAAGAGTCCCTCCCCTCCCCTCCCTTCCGAACTGGCCCAAAGACTAACATCTATCCATAGCGGCCTTCAGCTCCTTCTAGCTCTCCCACAACTCGCCAATAAGCGTCTGCTTTTGACGGCAAAGTTAAGCGACTTGAATGGGGAGCAAACGTATACTCCAGATATTAATTCTGCCAATCTCAATATGCCAGTTGCTGCGGATGTAGAGTCATCATCTATAAAAACCGAGGGCCAACCAATACAGATGGGTAATGACTTGGTTTGAAAACTAGACATCCTAAGCTCTGAGCCCTAAGTTCTTCGCACCAGGGGTCAATTGTCTTCAATATTCAGGTTGAGGCTATTAGAGAGAGACATGAGTACAAACTTCTATCGATATCATCATTTCAAGGTGTAGACGGCGAATGGGGTGGAGCCGTTGAGTGGGACAGAAACGTTGAACATCAAAAATGAGATTTTCAATATGGATTTACGGATGTGATTGGGTCTCGCATTTTCCTTGCGGCTATTTGTATCGAAATACTTGCGGATAGGCGTTATAATCATAGGCACTATTCACGAATTATGCAAAAAAAGACGTTAGTTACATGTCTTTAAAATATCACTCATTCATCTTCCAACCTAACCCAAATTTCCGCTGCCAGCAACGTGCTCACCAAACCTGCAAACCCTACCGTAGCAGGAGGAAGGGGTAGCCATCCCGTGATGGAGCTAGGCATAAAGAGATGAAGGGACAGGGGCTGGTTGGAATGCATACTCTCTGTATGTAACACAGAACGATCAAATCGAGATTGAAACCCCCGCAAAACCAATGATTCTATCGTTGTGCTTCAACAAATCCGATGCATTTTCCAAAAGCAAGGTGTAACAAAAGAAAACCGAGTGTGTTTGTTACAACGTTCATAAGGAAAAGCTAATAGCATAAATACAAGAGGTTTGTCCTCTTCACTATAAACAGTTTATCAACCTCCAGGTCTATTGCCCAGGCGCAATCAGCTTCCCCTGTGAAAGAGAATCATTCGGCCACCCTCCAGCCAAGGCTGGTCCTCCATTCTTCTCTGCAAAGTCCTTCATACGTGCTTCTAATTCTGGTCGGAAATGTCTGATGAGTCCTTGGATGGGCCAGGCAAAGGCTTCGCCGAGAGCTGTCTTTATCAGTACATGACTAGAAGATGAGAATTAATCTGACTTACCGCAAATGGTGTGGCCCTCAACCTGTTTGGTAAGTTCTTGCAACATATCAATTTCCCGCTCCCGTCCTTGTCCCTTCTCAAATCTCTTCATGATCTGTTCAGTCCACTTGCTACCTTCTCTGCAAGGTGTGCATTGACCGCAAGACTCATGTCGATAGAAATGACTTAATCTTGAGATAGCGCGAACGACATCAGTAGACTTGTCCATAACGATAACTGCCGCCGTACCAAGACCAGACTGACTATCCTTCAAGGCATCGAAATCCATGAGTTGCTCATCACAAACGGTTTTTGGTAAGATTGGAGTCGAGGATCCTCCTGGAATGATGGCTTTCAAGTTGTCCCACCCACCACGAACGCCGCCACAGTGTTTGTCAATAAGCTCCCTCAATGGGATACTCATCTCTTCCTCCACGGTACATGGGTTGTTGACGTGGCCAGAAATACAGAAGAGCTTCGTTCCAGCATTTCGCTCTCGTCCAAATCCAGCGAACCACGAACCTCCTCTTCGGCAAATCGTTGGCGCTACTGCAATGGTCTCGACATTTGCAACTGTTGATGGACATCCGAAAAGTCCGACGGCAGCAGGGAACGGGGGCTTTAGACGAGGCTTGCCAGGCTTGCCTTCCAGAGACTCGATAAGTGAGGTTTCCTCGCCACAGACGTAGGCTCCCATTCCACGGTGGATATAAACATCGAAGTCGTATCCACTATCACAGGCATTCTTTCCAATCAATCCATCTTTGTATGCCTCCTGGATCGCTCTTTGCAGGACTGTCGCTTCATGGTAAAATTCGCCGCGAATGTAGATATACGCGGCAGTGCAGTTCATGGCTCGACCGGCAACCAAACATCCTTCAATGAGTTTATGGGGGTCCTTCCTCATGATTTCTCGGTCCTTGCATGTTCCAGGCTCGCCCTCATCAGCATTGACAACCAGATATCTCGGCTTCGTATCCTTGTCCCAGTCTTTGAAGTTCATGAATGACTGTCAAACATCAGTTAATTGCTCAACTTTATGAGACGTTATGACCTACCCATTTCATCCCGGAAGGGAATCCAGCACCACCGCGTCCTCGGAGACCAGAGGCTTTGATTTCGGAAATGATCTATCTCAATTGTCAACATCCGTCTTCCACTTATCTATCCATTGAAGCATCCTAACATACCCAATCATGACCCTTCAATAGGATCTCTTTCGTCTTGTGCCAATCTCCATATTTCTTCGCACTCTTCAAATCGGCTCCATGGTGTCCATACAAGTTCTGGAAAATACGATCCTGGTCCTTGAGTCCACCAAACTGCGTCCGCTTGGGTGGCGGAGGGGGGTCCTGGATTGTGGCAAGTCCTCGGGACTGCTGTGCTGGAGAGAAGGATACTCGGGAGGTGGCGGCGCACGGGAGGACGCGGGTCGAGAGGGAGGAGACAGCCTTGGGTGAAGGCGCGTGTCGCGATAACATTTTTAGGGATGGTTGTGCTCAATTGAGCAAATTGGAGAGGAAGACACAGAGTTGAGGTTGTTGCATTTGGATTTATTCCGAGGGGGAGTTCGACGGATCATAGAGAGTTGACCAATCAGGCAATTTGGGTTGCAAGCTTCTTCGGCAGGCGCGGGAGACCTCAAGCGCATATTGGTATACAAAGCATAGCCGACCGTCTTCAACGCCTCGTATCAAACCAAAACATTAGTAAAGCGTGCAAGCGATTTCTCCAGAATAGCCCACCGGGCTAGGAAAGTCGAGGGAGTAAATGGCATCAACTTGAAAAGTACGAGACTGCCTTTCCTACTACTGTCCATAATTCAGTCTCGCCCTATATCTGGAAACTCATCTATTGACCTCAGTTAACTCCAGCATCAACAACTATACATTCTTCACACCACCACAAACCACCGCAACCATGTCATCCAAACGCGCCTCCACCATGCCCCCTCCCCCCAAACCGCCCCACAACACTCGCCCCAACCCTCATAATTGCAGAGCATGCCTCCCTTGTCGGAACCCATCTAATCGCTCTCGGTGCAAACACAGCCATCCACCCACGAACAAAGCTAATCTCAACCTTCGCATCCATCACCGTGGGCAGCAACTGCATTATCTCAGAACGTTCGATCGTAGGACTGCAGAGCGAGCCGGAGAACGATGTTGAGAGCGAGGGATTGGTGCTAGAGGACAGTGTTGTGGTGGAGACAGGGGCCGTTGTCGAGGCGAGGTGCGTGGGGACTGGGACGACGGTTGAGGTTGGGGCGAGGATCGGAAAGGGGGCTGTTATTGGGAAGGTGAGTTCTGCTTTTTTGTTTGAGATATGGGGAGAGGTGCTGACAAGAGTAGCATTGCAAAATTGGACCATTAAGTGAGATTGGTGTGGGGGAGGAGATTCCCGATTTCACTGTGATATTTGGGAATGGGATGCGGAGAGTAGACCGGAGTGGTGTTGAGAATCAAAAGCTGAAGACAATTGCGAGACAGGTGGAAGTCTTGAGGAAGTTGATACCCAGTAATTTAGCAAAGTTTCAGTGATCACTACAAGCATTCTTCAATGGGACGCTGTGAGACTGATGCTCGACTAAACCAAGGCATCTATGGCCATCTTGCCATTTATCCTTTGTCTGAAATGCAACCCATCTGATAGTACAATATTTTGATGCTTCAATATCCCCGCGTACGCCGTTTCCATCGCAAGATATATGAAAGCCATCCCAAGCTATGCATAGCGAATATCATATACAACACGAATGCAAATATCTCATCCATCTGATCCCTAATTATTTTGTCCACCACCCCGAGCCCTCTTCCCTGCATTTCCCTGTCCTCCAATAGAGCCTTCCTCACGAGGTCGTTTCATGCCAGTGGGTTGTCCCGAAGGGCTGAATGATTGTGCACCGGCATTCATTCCACCTCTCTGTCCTGAAAACCCTCCTCTGCCTCTGCCAGCGGCCCCCCCACGTACTGGTTGGTATGGTTGACCCCCTCCACGGATACCACGGCCACCACCCGCGCCACCTCTGGTTGGAATTCCGGATGCTCGAGCACCATTGCTATTCGGCTGAGAAGCCTACAAGGTGGTCAGTATAATGCATAAGTTGCCACAGAATTAGCCACGACTTACAGTTGGGATACTACTTGCAGGAACAGGGGGTGTCGTGCCATTTGCGGCCGCTGGGACGCTTGACTGTTGTGGAGCATCTTGAGGCTCAGCCGCAATAGTGATTTCGGTCTTGACCTCTGGCTTCGCTGATGTTGGGGCGCCATTTAGCTGACTGACAGGTTCTATAGGAGTAAGGTAAGTAAGAGTCAAAGCTTTAGAGCAAGATACATACCTGTAACTGTAGCTGGCACAGGCACTGCCGCTACAAATTTGAAATTCTTGGCGATCTCCCAAACTTCCGATACTGCCTTCTGAGGTGTATCCTTAGCAGCAGTCTCGACAATGACAAGCTTGCCGGTTGCAGCCTTGATCCTGTTTTCCGTCATGTTTAGTTTTAACACAGACTTCTTCTCTGCCAAGACTACGGCCTGCTTTTGGTCTTTCTCTGCCTTCTCTTGTGCCTCGGTAATTTGTTTATCGAATTTTTCCTTGAGTTTTAATGTCTCCGCTTCGAGCTTCTTCTTGACATTGTTGGCAAGAATTGCCTTGACGGTGGGGTTACTCGATAGTAGTTCGCGAACCTGTGCATCGGTCAAGCCACTAGTTGGGACAATCGCGGGTGTTGGCTTATGGCTTGGTGTTGAAGGAGTTCCAGGTGCTGCTGCTGGGGTTGGCGGCGCCACAGTAGACACATCTTCAGTCGAAGTAGGCTGAGCGGTGGAAACTGTAAGCGGTGGGGCTGTATTGACAGTTTTGGATTCTGCGAGCCATATCTGCTTCTCCTGCTCAAGCTTCAACTGATACTCAGACTCTAGCTCCTTCTTCTGGGCTTCGCGGATCTCTCCGAGCTTCTTATTAAGTGCTGTTTTCATTTTGTCAGATCGAGCCTTGAGTGTGATTTCCATCTGCTCTTCAATCTTGGTAGCCTTCTCTTCTTGCTCCCTGGCCTTGGCCTCGGCGGTGGAAATACGTTCTTTAAGGGCTTCCCTCTCGTCTTCTGGAAGAGTGGTCTTGGGAGTCTCATCAATTTGACCTTCCTCATTGCCATTTTCCGTAGAATGCTCGGAGGCACCTGTAATATGTCTTGATCGGGCCTCTGCGGAGTCGGCGCTGGCAATGTCTCGCTCAGAATTGGCCTTCTCAAGCTGCTGTCGCAGGTCGATAAGTTGAGTCTCGAGGGAGGCCTTCTCCTCGGTGACTTCGTCAAGCTTCTTCCGGAGCTCAGTGAGCTGTTGTTCGAAGGCCTCATTATTGGGCTGCTCAGTCGTGGTTTCAACAGGAGCCTGGCTAGGCGAAGACTGAGAAACACTTGCCAAAGCTCGGTCTCGCTCAGACTTGACAGTTTCAATTTCTTGGCTGAGGGAAGTAAGCTTCTGCTCTGCGGTATTCTTTTCACTAATAGCCGTCTCGAGCTGCTGCTGGAGACTGGAAAGTTGTTCCTGGAGTGCTTCTTTTTCTTGAATCACAGCATCTCTCTCCGCAGTTCTATCGTTCTTCTCCTTGGTTTGGATCCGTGATCTCTCCTTGGCTTGATCGATTAGACGTTGACGTGACTGCTGCCAAGTCGCTTTCTCAGCTTCCAGACCCTGCATCTGATCATGCAGAGGTTGCTTCTCTTCAAGTAAAGTGTCTCGCTCAGTTTTCAAGGCTTCGATGGTTTCCTTGAGTTGTTCCATCTCTGCGGGGTCGATGCGATCATACTTGGAAATAATATCCTGAGTCCGCTTCTGCCATCGGTCACGATCCTCCTGGAGTAAACGCATTTCTCCGTCTGTGGTCTCCTTGCCATGCTCGAGCTCCCTGATCTTGTTTTCAAGGGGCTGGATTTGCTCCAAGAGTTCTTCGACGCGCTGGGTCTTTTCACCTAGTTGTGCCTGGGCGTCGCGAGCTTCCTTTCGCAAAGTAATGCTGCTTTCCCGAAACAAATTGAGGTCTTCCAGCTTCTTCATGAGGTCTTTATGTGCAACAGCGCTTCGACCTCCATCTGCGTGAGCACGGCGTTCTTGGTCCAGCTTGAGTCTGCTCTCGTCAAGTTGTGATTGGGTGTATTCAAGCTGTTGTTGTAAACGCTTGGATTCTTGAAGTTTGAGCTCGAATTGTACTTCTATGATTTCTTTCTCGCGTCTCAAGAACGCATTGAGCTCTCGAAGTCCGTCAGCAGTGCGATCATAAGTGGCATCTCCTTCGGGAGACCCGGCTTCGGTAGTATCGACGACTGAGGATCGACTTTGCTGGAGAGCTGAGATTTGAGAGCCAACGTTCTCGAGTTGTTGGTGAAGAAGCTTGTTCTGGGCGTTGACATCGTCCCGCCTTGTCCTTATTTCCTTCAGTTCTTGCTCAAAGTGTTCTCGGCGCTCCTCCCACGAGCTTTCACTTTGGCTCAAGGCAACACGGGAGGATTCAGCATCGGCCTTGAGCGCTGCGGACTCTGACTTCAGCTGGTTATGCTCAGAACGGAGATTCTGGAGTTGCTTAGCGGCCTCCGCATGCTTGACCAATTCGTTCTCGTAATCTTGCTGAGCTTTTGTGGCAATTGCTGCTTGAGCACGAAGGTCCTGTTGGTGAAATATTGCTGCACTTGTATACCTCTCTTCCACGTCCTTTAGCCGCACAATCTCTTGCTCGAGAATAGCTTTCTCTTCTTCGCCTTGCCTCGCTACCTCGGCCTGTTGGTTACGCAAAGTGGTTAATTCATTGTTGGTAGTGGTAAGCTCAGCCGAGATGTCGTCAATGCGTTGCTGCAGCTCTATTATTTTGGAGTCTTTTCCCTCCATGATGCTATCCATCTCTTCACGATACTGGTCTTGCGTTGAATTGAGACTCTGCAATTCTTCCTCCGCAGATTGACCGATAGATTTGTACTGCTCCATCTGACTCTTGGTGCTCTCAAGTTCCGACTTCAAAAGGTCAAGATCTCGCTTCAATTCAGATATCTCAATTGACAGTTCTTGCTCCCTGTTGAGCGCCTCCTCTGCAGGGGCATCTCCATTAGTTACAACGGCAGTAGATCTAGGCGTGGGTCGCGGTTGGAGTAGTTCCACCCGCTCTTCAGCACTCTTCAGCTCAATGGTGAGCTCATCAACTCTTGATTGAAGGTGGTCTCGAGTAGTCTTTGCAGCTACCAGCTCTTCACGCACTTGGCTGAGGCTGCTTGCAAGGTCGTCAATGCGTTTTTGATTTTGCTGGGAATCGTACTCTTTGCGTAGTTGAGCCTTTTTGTTATCCTCAACCTCGTCGCTGAGTTTGCGCTTTGTTGTTGACAGCTCCGCCTCCAAAGATTCAACTTGGGTTTGCAATCTTCGCCGAGTCTCCGAGTCCGACAGCTCACGCTCGTTCTGGAGTGTTTGCTGATTCGCAATTAAGTTGTTCAAGCGTGTCCGCTCGTTCATCAATCCTTCGTTGTCTTGGCTCAGACGATCCTGGATGTCTTTCCACAGCTTCTTTTCTGCCTTGAGATTGGCATTCTCATTGCGCATGCCCTCAAGCTGACCTTTAGCCTCTATCAAATCCTCAGCTACTTGCTGCGTTCGGAGATCTTGCTTGGCAGCTGACTCTGAAAGAGTCTGCGACCGCTTTTGCAACTCGCTATTTTCGTTTTGCAGCATGGTATAATTGGATTGAAGCATCTCATAACGCTCATTAGCAAAGGCAAGTTGACTGCTTGTTTTGGCAATTTCTGCTTGCAGAGCGCCTTTGTCTGACGAGAGCTTCTCGGCTTGGTCCTTCATCGCACGGCGGTCAATGGTCTGTTCCTCCCTGTATTGGTCAAATTGTGTTTGCAATTCTCTCAATACAGCTGCGTAATTGGTGCTGTTGCCGGGGGTTTGCTCGATGGTTTGTACAAGGCCGTTCTGATGTCCGTCAACAGACTGACCGAACATAGATGCTAGATCAGAAGCGGGTGGCAGTTGACCGCGATGTTGTAACATGCGTCGGAACATATCCCTCTCCTTGATGTAGCTTTCAGACCGGGTGATCATGGACTGAAGCTCGTCCTTGTAATTTTCGATCTTAGTCTGAAGGCTCTGGACTTCTTCATGATCCTTCGCGGCCTGGTGCTTAGCTGACAATGCCTCTTCACTTTCCATCTGCGCACCTAATTGTCTCGTAATCTTAAGAAGTTCCTGGTTCTTCTCCTGGAGATCACTGACGCTTCGGAAAATCGTAAGGCGTTGGCTGATGAATCGATCGGTATCGGTCAGGCCTTCCAAGGCCTCCTCGCTAACCTCTCCACGGGCTAGACGTTCAAGTTGCGATCGTTCTGCAGTACTTAATACATCAATCCCTCTTTCTCGAGCATCCAGATCGCACAATAGCATCTTGATCTGCGCGCTTAGATCGCGCAGTTGCTGACGAAGAATGTTGGATTCTGCTTGGGCCGTGGAAGCTTCGCTCTCAGCCTTCCTTAGGTCCTTCTTCGCACGATCTCTCTCCTTGCCCGTTTGGTCTACGAATTTGGACATTTCGACCACTTCCTGTTGCAGACGTTCATGCTCAGCCTGCATTTCTTCAATCTCGGGTTGCTTAGCTTCCAGTCCCTGCATCATTTCCTCCATCTCAGCGGTGAGACGCTCACTCCGTCGCTTCTCATTATTAAGCTGTCCCTTAACCTTGTAGAGCTCGTCAATGGCCTGCGTCGCTGTAATAGCGGACTTGCTACGAACAGATCCCGGTGTACCAAACTGTGCTGGTGATCCAGATCTTCCAAAGGCCGAACCATTGAGACCTGCACGTGGTGTTCCGGGCATTGAGCCATTTCGGGGTTGTGACACTAGAGCCTCCAATCGATCAACCTCCGCCTCCAACTCTGCGATGCGATGCTCTGCCTGCTCGCGGTCTTGCCGTTCTGCCTCAGCTTCCTGCCGACATCTGCCAACATCCTCAGCTGCATCGTCCTTTGCTTTTTCGAGTTCTGCCTCAACCTCCTTGAGCCTGTTACGGTGTGTCTCGGATTGTTGAGTCTGAAGTTCTGCTAATCGGCGTGCGCTTTCTAATTCTTGTCGGAACCCCTCTTCAGTCTTCGCAGCGGCTTCCTGAAGTTGTTGGGTTTTAGCGAGGGAGTCTTCAGCCTTCTTCTGAACCTCGTCTAGTCTATTCCTCAGTGCCTGCTCAGTCCTCTTTGCCGCTTCGAGATTAGAATTAGCATCTTCGTTCAGTCGTTGAAGTTCGGCAAGTCTAGCTCCCTTCTCCTTTCTATACTTCAGGGCCTCCGCACTTTTCGTCTTCAGCTCATTTTCAAACCACTCGGAGTTTCGTTTGGCCAGTTCAACTTCTTGCTTGAGGGATTGCTCGCGGAACTTGGCACTGGATGCTGCAGAGGTCGCATTCTGCACAGACTGCTGGAGAGTTGTGATTTGCTGGCTAAGCTCCAAGCCCTTCTGGTGTTGTTTCTGCAGTTCTTGGGAAATACTATCATTCGCAGTAGTCTTTGACTCGAGTACAGCAACAGTGTCGCGGTTGGCAGATTCGAGCGAGGCTATTCGAGTTCTCAGCGTTTCTACCTCGGAATTAGAGGTCGTGGAGGAGGATTTCAGGTTTTGCAGTTCACTTTCAAGAGATGAACGCGCATTTTCTAACGAGAGAGAAGTCAGTGGATTGGCTCTCGTAACCATGACCGATGAATATAATCACCCTCTTCCGTCAATTTGGTCCGCACTTCTTCAACTGTATTTTGCGATTTCTCGACTGTGGCTTTTAGCCCCTCGATGCGCGTCTCAGAGCTCCGGACGGCATTCTCGAGCTCAATATCAACCCTCAGTTTGTCCGCAGCCAACTCATCATGCTCTCGTGCCTTTGTTGTGACTGCGTCGAGGACTGATCGAACAAGCTCGGTCGTGGGTGCATCCAAAACCGATCCTAGAATTTGTTGCGGTAAACCCAAATATCCTGACAAGTAGTCGATATCTAATGTCGCTGCAGCCATGACTACGACCAGCTCCTCATAAAGGTCGCTGGTGGCTCATAGAGGTGGGGTTCCTGCGAGGAGGGGAGGAGGGCGAGTTGTTTGTTGTAAAAGAGTAACCGCGACTTGTAGAATAAGCCCGCAACCACTCAAATGAATGTCAAGATAGAGATGAGTTTGAGACTCAACGCATATCTTCCAAGAGGATCGAGAGAGCGTACTGTAGTCGTGTGCCACTTCGCAGCGACGAGATGGTAGGCGCTATTGATGTATTCCAAGATGTTCTTTCTTTCATCAAGAGCTCTTCCAGCGGATGCGGTACAACGATCGCTTGCGGTTAGCGCGAATGCTACCTATAGTAGCGTGCCAAGCATTGAGCCTTGTTCTCTTGCTCTCTTGTTCGCGAGTTTAGCTTCGACTCAATCCCCAACCCACACCACAACCACCTCTGCTGCGCCAGATGTGGTAACCATTCTTTTCCTGGTAAATTTTCTTAATCCCATGCAGTAAGTGCGCCGTACATCAAGGGGCATCTCGCCATTCCCACGCCTTTGGACGAAGGTTGCGGTTGTCTAGTCAGCCAGTTGTACACACATCGAACCCCCCTCTTAGACCATATTCACAGAAGACGCGGTACATTCGAGCGCGATTCATCATATATCTGTTACATCTCTCATTATAGGCACTAGTTTCATCATTTGCTACTGCCGTCGCCATGTCGTCCTATCTCGAGAAGCAGCAGGCAGCCTTCAAGACCAACGTCACCTCTGCATCGTCCAAAATCACTGCCAAGCGCACCAGTCTCGTTCCACCTGCCGAAGCACCCTCGCCAGCACCGTCAAACACGTCGAATACATCCAAGACAGAGAAGGAAACCAAGCGCAAGCGAGAGGTCCAACAAAATGTCGTTTATTCACAGCCTGCCGTAACTGGCTATGGCACGGAAGCTTTCACCCAAGTCACCTACGTTATCGACTTTCTCAAGAAGAAGGACGAGCCGAAGACATTTCAAGAGATTTTGATGTACCTCAGCCAAGTCCATGTGGAAGAAACGAAGAAAAAGCTCATTGCGACGATCCTCAAGCGCCACGACCGCGTAAAATGGACGGCCGATCCTCAGCTCAAGACTCAAAACTGGGACTCGGGCACCTTCCGTCACCAGCCTCTCATCAACGTTCGTACCAAGAAGGACCTGATCGCATATCTGCAAATTAAACCAGATGCACAGGGTGTTGCTGTAAAGGATTTGAAGGACGGCTGGCCAGACTGTGAAGATGCTATTGATGATTTGGAAGCCGAGAACAGGATATTAGTGACGAGGACAAAGAAGGATAACCATGCCCGCATGGTGTGGAGCAATGATCCGTCTCTGGTCCATAAAGTCGATCCGGAATTTCAAATGATGTGGCACAAAACAGAGCTGCCCACGGTTGACGAACTCGTCCGGAAGCTTATGGATGCTGGCCAAAAACCTGCGAGCGAGGATCCTAGCAAGCGTGTGAAGGCAGCCCCCAAGCCAAAGGAGAAGAAAAAGAAAGCTCCCCGAAAGGGTGGCAAGTTCACAAACTCCCACATGGCGCATCTTCTCATTGACTATGACAAGCAAAGGAGATGATGCAGGGCACAGTCGCAAGCTTTGGTGGTATGTACAGGCTCGGTTTGCTTTATAAGGCGTTTGGGCAAGGGGATAGAGGCAATGTCTTTAGCGTTGGCGTTATGGTCTCAAGGGTCCTGAAATAACGGACGAGCATATAGCTTGCCAGACTGCCAACCTTGTGGGATAGGAAGGCAGTTGTGGTCTGCTACTGCAAAAAGGCAGGCAAAATTTACAGACTCGATGTACTCTTCAATGACTATCAGCCCCGTGATTACTTGCGGATGTCCTTCCCGCTTGATCATGCAACTATCGGGTTGTCAATAGAGCTGTTCAAACTTGCGTCCAGTGATCAGATTTACAAGCTAGATGTTCGCATGGGAGAAAGCAAACCAAAGACGAAGGTGTCTGTCTATATCTCTCTTTTCAAATCCTGTTTTTCTCAAATATCCAGAATAGTCAGAATCGTGGGTCTGTAGATCTATCAAGCTATAAGCCTGAATTATATTTGACCTGAAGCCATTCCTAGTTCAACGGCTCCCACTTGTGTTCTGGATGAGGCATGCCCCACTACGGATGCCCCTCTTTTGACTAAAACCACCTTACCAATCACTACAGCGAGATCACCAATAGATCACGTCGGGGGGCGAGTTCGGTCTCGGACTTCTTGATGATTAGAAATCATCAAACTTCACCTCATCCTTCCCCTCAAAAGTAATCATATTCCTCGATAAGTAATCTCTACCATACTTCACTCTCCTCATTCCCGCTTTATACATATTTCCCTATTACGCGCCAAAACCTCAGCACTAGATACATCCCCATGTTCACGTCTTGGTGCCGATCTTAGAGTACCCCAGATCACGTTTGCATGTTCCGGCCAACGCTGCGCAGGATGACCCAGTTTAACATAGAAGTAGTCAGCGACACTGTGTGTCCATGGTGTTACGTTGGCAAGCAGAAGCTGGAGAAAGCTATTAGCGCCTACAAAACTCAACACCCGGACTCAAATGATACTTTTTCCACGACATGGATGCCCTTCTATCTCAATCCCGGGGCTCCCAAAGTCGGTACGTTTTGTTGGTATTTCTGATTTTAGTGATGCTTGAGGACTAACAAGAAGTAGGTGTTGATAAGACAGCGTACTACAGAAACAAGTTCGGCGATGACCGCACGGAAATGATCTTCGGACGACTCAGTCAAGTGGGCAAGGACACGGGGATTAACTTCAAGTTTGGGGGTAAGACTGGAAACACCAGGGACAGTCACCGTTTGATTCAACTTGGGAAGTCGAAGTCCCCAGCCATCCAGACCAGAGTAGTAGAAGAGCTGTTCGCCGCTTATTTTGAGAATGAGGGTGATATTACAAGCCATGAGATACTCCAGAAGGCTGGTGTAAAGGCTGGGCTGGATGAAAAGGAGGTTAAGGAGTGGTTGCGAACTGATAAGGGGGGCAAGGCTGTCGATGAGGAGGTCGAGGCTGCGCAGTTGAACCAGGTTAGTGGGGTGCCGAACTTCACTATTCAGGGGAAGTATGAAATTGGTGGTGCGCAGGATCCAGGAGTGTTTTTGAGGTTGTTCGAGAAGATCAAGGCTACGGAGGAAGGGGCGAAGGCTTGAGTTATGTACATTGGGGTTTCAGGGTTTCTGCATTGCGTGCGTGCTTGTCTTGTTTTGTTTGATTTTTGAGCCACTGGGTTATCTGGTAACATGAGGAATACCCGTTTCATATCAGGCATTTGAGCTCTCCTTTATTTTAGGGTCACATTCTCAAATCCTTACCAGCCTATAAGTTTTAAAAAGGAGCTATGCCCCCTTACTCAACAGAGTGCCATCAACGAAGTCGACGACCATTGAGTTATTCCGCACTTTGAACCGTCTTGTCCAGTCCGAGTAAATATCGATAGAAACTGCCAAATTGAAAGCGCGTTGTAGTCGTTCTTGGCCAAGGAGCGGATGTTTCTTTAGGGACGCCTATGAAGTGATCCCTCTTCGCCATTTGGCTGACAATATTTTATCCGCAACCAATACCCCAGGCCAAGTATTCCAGCAAGTGCTTTTTCCAGTAGAAGGACAAAGAAGCAAGGATTGGCTTCGACTTCGGGGGTCGTTCATGCAAAGACAAAAGCAACTACCGCTAAGAGGAAAGACCTAAGGTGGATATCTCTCGAATTGCATACTTTCCGGAATTTTACAACATGTGAAATTCATGCGTCATGGTCTCACATATTTCCAGAAATCGAAACTTGGTAGTAGCAACATACCAAAATCCTTTCTCTACCGTAAATCTTGAAGTGTCTAGATTCCAAGACCAATTTTAAAACCCGAGATCCAGTCATACAAAATCCGAGAGCGAATACCAGAAGGAAGAAGCTCTCGTAGCGCGTCGGGACCTATCATATCCTACTTGATAGTGTTCTGTTCTACAGAATGTTAATTTCGTTTGTTTCTTAAAATCGCATTACTTTTCAATGGATGCCTTTTGGCCTGCCGCACTTTGACTGCAATAAATAGCAAAGAGATCTTGGAATCTCGGGAGGGATATTATCACACTATAGGTAATCTCCCAAAGTTATACCATCTCAGATCCATATTCGGGCAAACTACAGTAGCATCGTATCCCATTGCCCTTCATCGTGACTCGTGACTCATGTACCATACCTTACTTCCATAATATCCTAGAATTACGGTCTGCTCCGAAATCATCTTACGGCATGTTTCAAAGCTTGAAACAAGACCAACCAAGCATGGCGTGTTTCATGAAACATCCCGAACCATGCGATACTCCACAGATACTGTACGACGGGTTCATCGCATATCGCATGAACGCTAGATGATCCTTCCGCCCCTCGCATATCTCGGACTGAAAAGGTGGATTTTCTGAGGCGTTTTTAATGCTTTTTGGTCAGGACTCAGGAGCGCTTGCGTGCTCAATGCTCATGGAACATTTGGAAGTAAATGGGCCACTAGAACGTAATGATAAGCCTCTTATTTAAAGCTGCGGGATCTAGAAGGAGATTACGCTTCCTGATTTGATCACGGCTGGATACAGATATGTTATTTACGTAGTACAATTCAGAGAGGCTTTGGACGGAAGATACTCCAAGGCCGGTAGTACAGATTCGTCGGCTTCTAGAAGCTCAACTGAAATTACTCTGGGGAGCAGCTGATCTTGATATTATCATAAGTGGAAATTGGATTGATAGCCATAGTGTCAAGAGATAAGAGTATTCGGGAACGAATTACCCAATTCGAACGTTATGAGGGGGGAGTTATTCTGCATGGAAAAGGGCATAGGACTGTTGCTAATATGGTATAACTCTGGACATGATCCATATAGGTATCCTGCCAGAACTAGTAGAACGCCATAAAACCAAACTTCCTCACCCTCGCCACCCGCGATTCAATCAACTATGATATCATCTGTAATTGGAAAATGATCTAGATATAAGTGTAGGAAATGAAGGAATCCCAGACATTGTTGCCCAATGAAAAGTTATCCCTGTGCCCCTTGAAGTGTGAAATCATAGGGTCAAGATGACTTTCTAGCCATGCATCTGCCAATGTAGTTATTAGATATACTTCGACTCCCCGGGATATTTAATCGTAAGCAAGTGAGTGGTCTAACTTCCGATACAAGAAATCCGAGTTACGCCATGACTTCGATCGACCAGCATGACTACAGTGATCGTTCCCATTTTGTACGTCCTAAAGAAAAGAAGAGACAAGATATCTTTACCTGGGATCTATGCGGTGCCCCTGGCCCCCTTGATGTAGCAATGAAATAGACAGAACGTTGCAAACGTAGTCCCCGTCGATCTGCCAATTTCGTGGAGTGCATTTGCAATGACATTCTTTTGACTCTTGGAGTGACATTCTTTTAACTTTTTGAAGCCAACGTATTGCAGGGAATGGTAACTGCCGACACAAGAGGTAGAAATACGGCACTTTGATTCCCTTGCTGAGTTATACTCCCACCTGTATTTCTCCTTTGTAGATTGTGCTTGAGATTCAATATTGGGTACCAAGAAATGAGGCGTGTTATTGTTGATCGGCGCATACTAGGAAATAAGAGACTGGGATATTGCCTGCCGTGAGCTGTTGTACCAGAAGAAAGTGGCCCGGCTGTGGGACAGAGGGAAGACCTAAGTTCACTCAAATAGAACTGAGCGGTATCTTCAGCCCATCACCGAACAATACTGCAATCAGAAGCTTATAGAGCGAACCTGTTGGCAGCGGCACATGTGCACGTTTTGATCTTTAGAAAAAGCTTTGATTTAGGCATATTCCGCTTGATGGTTTTGAAACCTATAATTCATAGAGCTCAAAAATACATGATCTCAGCCAACGCATGAGTCATGAGCCTACTTTCTAGACAATGCATACAAGCTTGTGCTCGTATTCCGGGGTAGCCAAGCTGCTAAGGAGAGGGCGCCAATCGTAGGTCGACTTTTAAATTGAGCCTCTAGTACCTGGCCCTGAATTGATCGAGTGATCACGTAGCTTGCAGAAATACACTGGGATTCTCTTGTAAACACGATGCTTGATTCATTAGAACTACCACTGCCGTGTGGAACCGAGTCTAGAAATTCGGGATTGCCCCCTCCCCCACTCCCCCTCCTTCGAAGGATCATCCTTTAAGGATGGGGTAATTAGATCTCGCTTCGGGTGTCGAGTATCTTAGAGCGGCTCAAGATCTTTGACTTAATACAGCTGGGCTCATAAGCGGCGCTCTGAACTAGGCTGAACTCCACAGATCCAAGGATATGTCCCTTGCGCCTTATGGATGTAGAGGCGTTCTGATCGATGAGGGTGGTGTGCATTATTTCAAGACATATGGTCAAGGGAAGATGTTGCCGAAGGGTCCAGAACGCAATTCTCACGATGGCCCGCTCGATACGCTGGTGCTTTCTAAAGCCAATAATACTTCGTCACAGGCCAAACTGCTACGCGAAGAAATCTATAGCAGGGGGGTTAAGAAGGGTGGTAAACGCACCAAAGCAAAGGCCCCTTGCCCTGGTCTTCTTGGCATAACAGTTTGGCCTGTGACGAAGTAGATCGAGGTAATAAAAACTTTATGCACACAAGGAACCAAGCGTAGCAATGCTAACTTGGGATTATCCCTTGAATTGGCGAGGAGCTGTGGCGGGGAGGGCATCAATTTTGCCGGGAACATCGAGGAAATGAGGACTAAACAAGGGATCAACTACTTGGGCCAACCCTTCCGCAGGACGAGGGTCATTCTGAACACGTTGTAATTTCACGTTATGAAGTACGAGTTCAATACCAGACAACTCATTCAAATGTACCTAGAGATTCAAGTGAACCCCAAAAAGGCCGCATGCTGCTGATCGTACTACTTGCAAGGAATAAGAAGTTACTTCAAAGCCTTATACTGCTTCCAATTAGGGAGAAAAGAGATCTACCGAAGGCCTGCGTTACTGACTTCGCAAGAGTGATCTTAACTTTTGACATCCAATGTCCGCCATGTCCAGATGATGTCTTTTTAAGCAGCAACAATGAAACTAAACCGCAGACTGTAGCTAAATATAACATGGGTTTCCCGCTCTTGATATGAGGGTAGTATATGAATCTTGGAGATCGGACGCGAAGACGATCGGAATCATCGGATAGGGAACCGAGTCTATCATTTTCAAGCCCCAATCTGATCATTGCGCTGTAGTGATTGCAAACTTCCTCCAGCAAGCCGCACTTCCCGTTAACAGTGCCACGCGGGCAAGTGCCTTACTAGCAGGAGTAGCTTCAAGTTTGAAGTCAAACTCAGTGGTCATGGAGCTCTTGCTGGCTAATGCATCTACTTGATGCCCAATCAGCTATCAACTACTGGCTGCCTTCCCCACCTGCGCACAATAGACAGGACTAAAGGCGACACTAGTCAGCCTTAATGAGATGATTAAAATGAGACAATACTTCCAGAAGAACTTGAATCGTGTGCAATGTGGCTTGCACTAGCATGAGTTGTAAAAAGTGGGACACTCTCATACAGCTGTTTTGAACGTTTCGGCATCTAAAGTAACGCGCTCGGTCTTCAAGGTGAACCGGTATGCCCCGTTTGAGGACCTAACATCTAAGTTGATCGCCGCTTGGCCTGGCTGTGCGGTTTGTGAACTTCGTCACTGGTGGAGACTAAAACATCGTTCTGGGTCGTTCCCTAATGGCGGAGGCTTTTGCAAGATGCTGTGGTGTTTCAGCTTCAGTAAGAGACTCAAGCACAGCTGGCAGAGATCAAATTTCTACTTATCACTCACCTGATATGCCGAGGCATTTCCCGTAGAGATCATCTCATCTCCTATCGTCTTTGAGGGATAGTCTCGGGGCTCTTCCAAACTTTCCGTAGTGAGCACCAGTAGATCTTGGGTGTATGCAGCTAATGAACCTCGCGGGGAGTATTCGCATCATTCCAAGAGCGCGTGTCCACCACGTGTCGAATCTCCCGTGCATTTCAATTCGGATACGCCGTGGACGGATAGAAAGCACCTAGTTGTCCGTATTTGGATTGACGCTGATACGCCACGCCTTACCATCCATGAAACATTAGGGCAAGATCATGGTTCGGGTAGCAGCTTGCACCCGGCATCCGTGATCAAAGCGCTGCAAACATCATGAGAGCTGTATTGAGTTCAGTAAAGAGGTGGACAAGCTTTGTTTCTTTCCGAGCTTTGGATTCCCGTGGATGATACGGTACCGTACTATAAATATAAAGTTCAACGTTCGTACTCCTCGCTGCGGGGACTCGAGTAATTGCATTGTTCTGATGCGTCCATAGAAAATTGAGATCACCAGCGCTCCTTCTGGTGCTGGAAAAGGTGCCTGACCTCGTCGGAGAAAAGCGCCTGGTCCCACACGGAGTACGGAGGGAGAGCTTGGCCATCCATGCGAGATGAACGTCGATGAAACAATCATGCCATCCGTACTCCAGGCAGTGCTAGACCAAGCCAAGCTTCCATTATTCTAGCGGGCTTCTAGCTTGGTCAAGCCCTGCCATGCCACGGACCACGGTCCCCTGGATTTTCCGGTCGATCGTGTTTGCCTTCTTTGGTCGTAGTCAACCTAATGCTTGGTCGTGAAGACTTGCCAACGCAAACACATGCACCATTAAGGGCCTAGTCAGGTAGTCTGTAATTTAGACCTCATTTTACTTCTAGCAAGTTGCGGCAAATAATAATTGGAAACTAGACGTATTTGGCAGAGTCGTGAACGTGACAGTTTAGTGCGGCCGTCCGGGGGAAAGGGTGATCCAAGCAGTGCAGTTCAGGCACAGAGCAAGGCAAGGCAAGACAAGCCACACAGAGCCAAAGTCAACCCTCAAATTGTCTCCATATGATTAGGGCTCAAGCGCCGCGGGAGGAGGATGTGGTGTGTTGAAGGGCTGACGCCGCACTCAAGACAACTTTGATTTTTCTCATGTTACAGTACCTACCAAAAAGAAACGCACTGCAGATAATCTAACGGTCTGCGCCGTTGAACGTCTAAAGGGGAAGGTTGTGTACTCCGTACAAAAGGAAGAAAAAGGTCCCCTCATTGAAACTCGGGCCATGAGCGAATAGAGTACAAGGATGGAAAGGGGCTAATGAATCCCATGTGAGTGGAAACTTTCCCGTTCACAGGGGTATGCCACGCGCGTGGGGCGGAGAGTTTTTGATGTACTTCGTAACTGGGCAGTTCCAGGTCTGAGCTTGCTGACTGGCGACTGGAAGTACTCCGTACCTCCGTACGTAAATACACATTCTGCGCTACCAGTGACCACTGGTTCAATGTAGTCCTTACTTGCCAAAGCTAGCGAGTCTCACTCAATAGTTGCCATGATGAGTGACCTGAGCAAGTAATGTGCAGTAGTTATTCTGAGGCTGCTGCAATAATTGAAGGCGAGATGGCATACCTGATTATAAGATCTTCCATCTGCCGCCCTCTTCTCGCACAGACCTTCATCATCGCGTGGGAGGTGGGAACTATCCTGGTAGCGGCGCGATGTTGTGTGGTCGGAGCGTTTTGTTGGAAGAGAGCTTGGTTGGCTGTGACTCAAAGAATGCATGGAGAGTCTCTCGAGTCGGATCTGAGCTTTATACTCCGTACACAAGTGTATCACCCCTGGAAAATTGACCTATTACAAGCGTTACTTCGTAGAAGTAGTACAGTACTCGCCCGGTAACTTCTAATCAGACTTTCTAATGTATAGTCTCGCCTTCATACGAAGCACTAGTAAGAAGTAAACCAAATATATCCCGCTAGTATTGGAATGTAATCTGTACTGCGAAATAATTTCATGCAATCCATCGGACCGATGAGTGACCCATGCAGACAGTGGTCTACCGGCTGGGCTCCGCGCACCTGGAGTAATGACGATGTTTCAGGGGTCCAGGGTCAAAGGCTTCCTTTTCTCTTCTCTCAGGTTCAAAGGAAACTCTACAACTCGGATGGTTGAAGCATTTCTGACTCGGAAAAAGTTAGCACGGCACCAGATTCGAGCACTCTACAACAGCTTTTGGTTGGAAATTGTCGGATCCGGGCGGGTTTTGCGAGTCCGCGGAAGCTTGACTGTTGTAGATGTATTCCAAATTTAGATATGAAGCAAATCTTTTAGTAACGCGGAAGTGATGCGAAAATGACATTTGCAGTTTAATACAGAGCACTAACTTATATAAAACCTCGGACACTAGTTCCGTCCCAGCTTCCTGTGAAACAAACTTGTGTCGCTGGCTTTTCGCCTGAAGTGGCTGAGCAACTTGTCGCTTGTCAAGCTTGGGTGGTAAGTTTACGGAGGAGCACGATTTAGTAAGGAGCAAAATGCGTTAATAACGGAGCAATATATACTTTGGGCTGCCATGAACCTAGGATAGGCAGTAGTAGAGCTGGATACAGGACATGAGGCGCTCGTACGTCGTATAGTAATAATAATAATAATGATATAATACTTCGTAATAACGGCTCGCTCGAGTCAAACTTCATAGGGGATAGGGGTAGAAGGGTGCAAAGTGGTGGCCCACCATGGGACCTGGGGCCGCCAGGGGTGACCTTCTTTCTGCTTTTCTAGAATGCTAGTATCCCTGCTTACCTTACCTTAGGGCCTGAGTGTCTTCATGCTGCTCCGAGCCCAAATAGTCAAATGAGTGCCAGCACCCACCCTGGCCTTTCCCTTGGGACGGATGACGATTTGGAAGAAGAGAAGGAAGAATCGCGCTGCACTGCTTCTCGTTTGATCCTCATCCTGCATAAACTCGACAAAATAATATATCTCCGCCCGTACTTTACTCACTACCTACCACCTACTCATTTGATCCAAAGTACACGACATAATACGTTGTACCCTCTCTCGGACAATTCCTCCCCTCTCGCCGAATCTTCCGTCCTCTGGCCATCCACGCTGAGATAGATAGATCCCTTGAAGGCCCTCAAGTCGCGTACTCTGCATACAGGAAGGATCATCAACGTCAATATCAACATCAACAGCAACATTAAAAAAAAAAGCAGCATTTCTTTTAGATTTGTAAATTTCCTTGACTCGGGCACTACCAACACCCTTGCTAGGTTTCTCTGCGTGGGGCGTAGTAAGGTTTAAAGTCAGGTCTTTATAGGGACAGGACAGGACAGGACGGAGCAACACCAAGAAAGCGAAGCGAAAAAAGTTCCCCAGGTCAAAAGTGCCGCTTCAACAACGCAACACAACAACACTCGCCCTCCTCGACTCTTCGGCAGGAGTCATTGTCGACTTCTCGAACTGCTAGCATCACAGTCGGACGGTAAGAACATCTCTACGAAAACAGATCCGCGGCAACTCACAGCCTTGACGCACGTTGGTCCCTCGAAAGCTCGAACGTCCCCGTCTACAATCCACCCCCGTGGACGTCGCCTCTACGAACAAGCGCATAGGTCTTTGCTTGGTCGTGTCACCAGCTCAACGACGATATCTGAAGATTGATCAGCCACTGTAGGAAATCAAGTCTAGGTAAACACCACGCGTTTTGAGTGTTGAAGAGCACTTGCTAACCCTCGTGTTTCGGGACAGCCGACATCCTTCAGCCCATCTACCAAGCTACGATTTGCACTCGCATCCGAATCTCGTTTTATTTCACGCAAACAACTTTCGGATTTATCCTACACCCTAAACTACATACCAGCCAGCTCAAATTGCCGCTTTCAACAATACTGCCAGCCGGCGCCGATACAACGAAACAACGGACTACAGCCGCTTAACCACCTGTGTGGATTCAATAGGTCATACATCGAGTCTTTGTCTACCAGGGTCACTGCCTGCGTTTGAGCCCGGCGTTCCGACAAGTCACTTCATCGGACGAACCTTTGGCTCGTGCCTCAAACACTGCAGCGTACCGTGAATTTTGCCAAGAAACAAAAAGCACTACAAGGTCCTGAACAGCCAGCAGATACACAAGTTGGGCGAGTTTATCCAGCTGCACCATACTCTTCCGTGGCGAGCCCATCCTGAAAGAACCCGGTCGATCTTTTACATCTACAAAAGCGCATATTTGGTAGCAGAAGTTGAAGGGTCCTGGGGTTTCAGTCAAAGACCATTTGTTTTTGACCAGTGGCTCGAGCGCTTGCCCGTGCGTTTCTAGCATTGCCGCCACTCCGCAGACCCAGCATCCGTATTGGCGGATATCTCTTAGGAAATCTACGAAGCCAGGTTAGTCGAAATCTTATTTGATCTCGCCCTCCCATCGTTGAGGAGCTGAGAACCTACGGGTTGATGCATGTTTGCATACTTGCTCCCCACTTTCCCTTGATTTGTAGATTTCCCAAAGTTGGGTGAATTGGCGGTGAACGTGTCTTCGTGTCTTCACAGATTGCGCCCAGTTGAAAACTTTAAATCTCTCATAAACAAGTTTTCCTCATGCTAATGATTTCTAAAACAGACTTTTAATATTTCAACCTCTTGACAGTCTTGTTGACTTTTGCTTCATCCTCGCAACGAAAATCCGAGTCACGTTATTGACGCGTCGCAATACATCTGTGGCGTGTTTGACTTCACCGAATCTGACGAGTAAAATCTGGCTCGAGAACTGCGAAGAGCCTTTCTGAACGCTGCTTCCCGAGACACAGCATCGAATTCCCGAATTTTGACTTGAACTGGCGGACGAACACTTGACCCAAGCGTCAGTATTTCACTATAACCGGTGCCCTCCTTCACCTTTATTCGGCTTGTCAATACCCCAAACGCAGTCATGGACATCAAGCAAATAGTCAACTCGAAAGGGTCGAAAGGAGTTGCGGCGGCAGTTGCTAATGGCTCTGCGCAAGATTTGCATCTTCTTCAATCGATCCAGCAAGCCAACAGCATCCCCATGTCTGATACGGGTTCGGAGCGTGGCAACTCTCCCCATGACTCTGAGCGATCCCGGTATTCGGGATACGGTCCTATGAATGGAATGAGCGGAGCTCCGAACACTATGCGATACCCTTCGCCAACAGCTATGCAAAACACGATGCCAATGATGCAACAACAGCCTTATCGACCAGACAATGGATTCGACAACGGTATGATGCAGCAAGAGACCGCTCGGCCTGCACGTCAAGCTGGAGGCGACGGCGCTCAAAAGGCATTTCCCTGCAGCTCTTGCGGTAAAGGTTTTGCCCGGCGAAGTGATCTTGCACGCCATGGTATGTCTTTACAAATCAAAATCAGACTGTCTTATTGTGCTAACGAATCTCCAGAACGTATACATAGCGGTGTTCGGCCCCACGTCTGTGAGCATCCTGGCTGTGGAAAACAATTCATTCAGCGGTCCGCTTTGACTGTTCATATGAGAGTCCATACTGGCGAGAAGCCTCACATGTGCGAACGTTGTGGAAAGGTATAATCAAATAATACCCTAGCAATGAACACACTAACACTCTGTAGCCTTTTAGTGACTCCAGTTCCCTCGCAAGACATAGACGAATCCATTCTGGAAAGAGACCTTACAAGTGCCCCTATGCCGACTGTCAGAAGACCTTCACCCGCCGTACCACGCTGACTCGGCACCAAAATCACCACACTGGAACCGTTGAGGAAGCGGCAGCTGCAACAGCAGCAGCTCTCGCAACTCGCAGCACGCAAGGTTCGAGACAGCGCTCCGATGGCGAGCAATATTCCAACAATGGATCTCCAATGTCAACCCCATCTCCTCTCCAGCGAACACACTCTGTATCCCCTAATTCCGAGCTTGCACCGATGAATCATATGCCTCGTCACCCAGCAGAGTATCATCAATACATGAACAATAGTTCGCTACCCGGACATCTCCGTGGTGAATACAGTATTCCTCACCAACCACCTCCAAGCACAGCCTCTTACTCCAATGGCATGCGACCAACGTCGCATCCTACCGGTTACGGACCGCCAACTATCCTCGAGCCACCTACCAGCGGGGAACAACGCCAACAAGGGAGTGTGGGCGGTAGCCCTCATATGAGTAACGCGGGTTGGGCGTCACCTTCGCACAACATGCCGTCACCATCTCATAGCAACTACATGTACCCAGATCCCGACACATATGGATCTCCAGCACCAATGGGCCAGATGTTTTATCCAAGTTCGAATGTCAGGAGACCACAGAGCACAGAGCCCGATGCGTACGACATTAAGCCGAGAATGAACGAGATGTGGACTGCAGCCCAATAATCTCCTGCTTGCACCGCCAATACATCTGGGGCCGAACGGTCATAACTCCCCAGTCTCTACTCGCATCAAATTTTATTTATCCCCTTCTAAACTTGTCTGATACCCTGTACATTCATCTCATCATTGCTTTTCGGTTTCATTTGTCTAGGCGTTACACCGGAGCGTTGCATAAAAGCATACATACAAGGTCATAGCAACTCATACACAGCCGGCATGGATGCCGCACCTAATTTTCCTAAAAGTGTCATTTTTTTATTTTGGTCCTCGGGTGGCTCATGTTCTAGAATTGGTTTCATAACGGCCTTTCCGACCGCGAGGAAGATGGTACGTACGTTGGAGCTACGACGTTTATGAGGATTTGAGGATGACATCTACCGTCTAGACTGGTGGTTACGTATTTCGGGCGATTTATCAATCGAGGTTGATGACTCGGTAAGCAAAGGTAGATAGAGGGGACCTTTTTTAGAGATTGAGCCTAAGGTAGCAATACTTGCTTATTATTCTCACATGAGCTAGGACAATAAATGTGCAAACATACTCTTTGTCTCTTTATGTGTGACTAGTGTATGATCATAAACTATCTGTCGTATTGATTGAATAAATTGGGGGCTTGACACTGGTAAACTCGGGATGCTTGGGTAATTAACAGAGTTGCTTTTGCTGCGTCCCATCTATTTTGGTTACACAAAACACCGCCTGCCCCAAATATACGATCATTTATGGACAACTAAACTTGAAACTTTCTTCACCAACCCCAGAATATCAACACTCACGTCGTCCCATTCGCCTTCACCAACTTCCCCTCCGTCCTCTCCACATACTCCACCAGCGCCTCAATCGTACAAACCTTCAGCCCCCACTTCTTTCCAAAAGCCAAACACCCATCCCTCCGCATCATCCCTGGCTCCAACCGCTCGGCCCTCCCCTCAACCTCAACCCCATCCTCCACAATCTCGCAAATAGCAGCCGCGGGCGCCTTACCCGCCAGTCTACAAAATTCCACCGCAGCCTCCGTGTGTCCAATCCGCTCCCTCACACCGCCCTCCCGCGCGCGCAGCGGGAACACATGACCGGGCCTCCTG